CCATTTACAATACACTAATTACGCCATTCCGTTGTGGCTGCAATCCTATCCATATCGGCATGGCCTCCCATTCGCTGTGTTGTGGGGCCCATTGTCCCGGACCTCGCCGTATTCACCCTGGGCGGCGTTTGCGGACGCGGGCGTTTTTATTTGATTTCTTCGGCTGGATGTTAAGAAATGCACGGGTGTCGGCATTTGACCTTGGTTGATCTTCGATGCCTGATCTTTTTTGTCATCGCAGGAGCAACAACTGCGCAACCCTGATTAATCATGTTTTCAGATCTTTATTGATGTATTTTCCCTCGGACAACATCAAAAGGGACACCAACTTAACATTTTCAATTTCCTTCCAGCTGGCGTGTATGCAGTCTTGTGTGAGAAGTCATCAGCATACGGCCTGCAAACTAAGCAGGTTTGTGTTCAACCTCAGCCTGGTTTTGCTTAAGATGTTTGGAAAGAACGGCAAAAGTATGATTATGAATGCAATATATGTGTTGCCAGCATAGCTCAGACTGGCTCACATGTAGACATCATCCTGGCAGATGTAACAAAACTGCTCACGTCGGGCGCAGCCGAACGCCGCCACCACCCCGCCGCGGAGCGCTCCAGCAGTGTCTCGGATTGCGTCTCCGGGCCCTATGATCCGTATGATGGCAGTTCTTGCCTTGGTACACTTGTATCCCCGCTAATGTCTCCCGCGTGTACCGCCCTCTGCACCCTGGCGGCGCTCGAACCCAACTGGAGCCGAATTCTGACTTAAAATGCCCGCAACAAAGCCAGCCCGTCTTATCCGCCATCTTACTCTTTCTTACGCGGCCGGCGCCCAGGCGATATCAGCCGTGACAAATTTCTCCGAGCTGTAGATTCACTCAAACCGAACCATTCCTGTCCCACATTCCTTTCAAATACAGCACCCGCGCACTTCCGAAACAGCATCAGCGTCGTAATCAGCGGCGCCATCTCCGCCTGATAACGCTATAGGGCCGGCGGCCGTCGTCGCGAGCCGCGCACCGCCGGCGTCGCCTGCGGGCGCTCCCTGGAGACGCGAGGCAGCGGGCGGCGCCGGCGGCTTCGGTTACCTCCCGGCCGAGCGGCGCCGAGCCGAGCGGCGCCGCGCCACGGGCCACGGCCGCCGGCCACCGCTCCGCTGAGAGCAGTGCGACAGCCTGAGTGCGGAAGTTTGTGTGTGCAGTCAGATTGTTCGCCGTGCTTCAGCCTCTAGACGGATGAGCACCCTGCCGTGATAACCGCGGCTGGGGGGAGACCCGCATGGCGCAGAAGAGAGAAGCCACGCGCAGGCGGATACAATTAGCAAGCTTTTTCACAGGAATTTCTTTTGCTCCCTTTACGATGGATGACCCTTCAAATGGCCTAGATTTGGCATTTATGCAACTGTTTAAAGCGGGGTCCCGCGCCAGAACCATCTGTCCTGAGGGCAGACGCGAGAAAAACACATTATTTATTTCGCAGGCATTTGCAGCGTCCACATTGTCATGGGAAACAGGCAGAATGTTCGAGGAGGGTCCTAGCTGTGACAAATATGTTGATAGCCCTCTCTAGCGATATCGTTTTGGGGGATTTTTGGCTGGTCCATGGTTGGAGACACATATACTTTTATCAAACACGGGTTTATACCGGCCTGCACCACATACTTGTTTAAAATAACCGTTGAATGAACAAGCGTTACAACCGCTATTGTCAACCGGCATCAATACAAGGACAGTGCGAGAGTTTCATCCCCACCCCCATCTACAAAGACAGTACTGGTGGGGCCCCAACAATCGCAAATTACGGAGATGAACCTATATCGGTTTTCACGACAGATCAATGCGCTGAAGTTTTTGAAATGTTTCTTTGAAATTCCAACATATACGGAACACTGAACCAGAATTTGGTCGTTTCCATGCACTTTCATTGACATTTCATAGCTAAGACACGCGCATCGAAGAATAAATTACTTATATAATACGAGCCACTTTATACGCATTTCTTATTTTAGCCCATGCCTTTACTTCATCCCAAGTCTAGGCGAATGCTAAGCCTGCCAATCAGTGGTGGGGATCGGTGTAGGGCGTTAGACGCTGGCTGCGCCATTATTGTTTGCATTGATGCTGTGTGGAGCAAGGCCGGCGTTCAGGATCATTAATCGTGGATCGTGTTCAGGCACATCAGCTTTGTAAGTACTGCATACCTATGAGCAGGGGCGCGGCCAGGCGACTGGAAGTTGTTTTGTCGTCTCTGCGTGAGACATGTTACCGAAAGCTTTTAAGGAGCTTTGAAAAGTTTCGGTAGGAAGAAATCTCGCATCATACCTGCCCGTAAAACATGGTCTTGCTTACAGCCAGCCGACCGTGTCCAATTTTATCAGAACGTATGTCTTCACAAACTTTTCACCAAGTACTCAAAGCCAAAAATCGCTGATAAAAGCTTTGCCGTTAGAAAAATTAAGTTTTGTTCTAGAATCCATCGCGAAAGCGGCTTATATTTAACTAAACAAGGTCCCTACATAGCATGCATTGCATGTGTCGTTGAGCGCCGTATTATCACTCGTCGAGGGCGGTACCACTTCTCGCTACGTCTCGGTAAGCCATCGCAACAAAGATGAATGGTTACCTTGGCTCATTTTTTTGTCGCACTTGTGGCCAAATCTGTGTTCTGTACCATTTGTCAGAGAGATGCCTTAAACACATCTCATAGTAACTTTTACATTCTTTCAGCAATAAACATTCCGTTAATCTTGTCGCGAGGCGTTACAGTCACCAAGGAACAGGGCTTCCGCGCCCGATATCAACCACATGTTGGCAGCGGCAAGCCCCCTTCGCAACGTGTCGTTACGAATCGGTTAGGACGTTTCAAGCCCACCAAACTCCCATACCTTGGAACGTTTTGTAGTTGACCTGTATAATCACAGATGCCCGCCATCTTGACGAGCATGGATGGGAGACTCCGCGTGCCCTCCGCCGGTCGTTTTGGTAAAAACAAGAACATATATAATTGTTGAGCAGGGACGCATACCTGCTTCAAACCGTAGGTTGGAACTATTATGCATAACGAACTTCACAAGTTGGGTAAGCCAATGAGTAATCCATATGGAATGCCAGCGGGTTGGGTTGGGTTCATATTCTGGGAAAACTACGGTTAAGGGTACGGGTAAGGTGTTCACGAAATCTTGCTTAGGTACTTAACGAAATACTACACAATGTTGATGCCTGTGCTTCGCTATAGCAAGCTCCATTCGCTTTATTATGTCAATTATAAACGTGAAAGACGAAGTTTGGGTGTAAAATTTCCTGAATTTGTTCTATAGTTTAGAATAAAGGTGCTGAAAAACACAAACGGGCGAGCAACGGGGAGGGGGGGGGGTCTTCAACTAATTTAGACTGGGTCGCGGGTGGGCACGGGCAAAGCCCCATGGGCAGCAGGCGAATATTGGGCGGAAAAAATCTTGCCCATCAAGGCCTCTACTTGGACATAAATCCATTCATAATGACGCAGGGTGAAGATTGACTGCTGTGTTAATGTGGCACGCACGCAATCTGATCGCAGCCATGCCGATTTGTGCGGTCAGCGAAAGTGCGAATATTAAAAAAAATAAATGGTATATTCAACGTCGTTAGCCACAGAATATTTCGCTGGTGAGCGGGTCCATAACACCCTCATCTATACGATACTTATCAAAGGGCTGCCAGAGCGTGCGCAATATTTTAGTTTGACACAGACCAGGCAGTAAGTTAGCAGGGAGCCAGGGAGTATGCCAGCATTTTGGCTATGCATTGCAGTGCATATTTAAGACCGCGATTGATGCAAAATCGTTGGACAATGCGGCTGCTGGAGGCCTGTCGGCCCGATATACGCCGATATTCAAACATCTGTTCTGTGATTGGCCGCCCAACGACGCGCTGGCGGCGGAAATATTTGAAGCAATGTAATGCCGTGCAAAACTCGGAACGGATCTTTAGACGTGCCGTTTTTCATAAAAAGCATGCTAATGTACACCCTGGGAGGGCCAGTTGCGCTTTGTTGTATGTGCGGCGTTGGCTAGCCTCGCGCGCTCACTGCAGGTGGTTTTAGTGATATCTCAGGCAGGAGGCATATCCATTTAAACAGGATTTAATGCGCAATTCCCGGTTTGACATGCTTCATGGCATGCAGGGTGCTGAGCAGCGAAGCTTGAGTCCATTTCACCAACGCTGTAAATTCACCATTAGACGAATCTTCATTTCTCATCATCGCTCGCTCGCATCGCTCTCATCATCGCTCATCACATTTCTGCTCCATGGGTAAACCCGAATACATGGGGGGGGGGGGGGGGGGGCGCAGGAAGCGGTTTAGTTTAATAAGGTAACAAAACGCTGGCGAGTCCTTATGCCATTCCAGAATATAATAACTGCTACCGTACGAATCTCAAGAGCGCCTCAGCCACAGCCAATAACATTTCAACGTTAAAGGCTCGTGCTGGACGTTAAACAAAAAACATCAGTCCGACATCCGCTTCGGTTCCTTTGGTTTGTTCCACTGGTAAATTCAATCAACGTCTCTGTTAATTGGACCATATCTAGAGGCAGTTGCAGTAGGCACAGCATAAGTCGCAGTATTGTCGGCTGCTGGTGCACCATTTGTACGATTGCCGAAAAACCCTGGATTAGGTAACAACCGCGATGGTAAGACAAGCATGTTCGAGGTAGGTTACCGCATAAATGCTAAATATTGTTTTTTTGGACATTAAGTGGGCTCCCTGCGCATCGCAGCCGACGTGCGGGTCAGCAGCATACACACCGAAGTGTCCCTGTGACTGGGCATAACATCGACGGCTTTTCTACGGTTAATGGCCAAACATCTGTTATTTGCTCCGGCATGGATGTTTCAACACGGCTAGATCTGAGCCCACACCTGAGGTCGCGTCGGACGTCACAAGCCCCATGCCCGACACGACGCTGCATATGACGACGCGTGTGACGTCACGCTCGCCGTGCTGGGTGTAACGCCACGCATGTACTCACGCCTGAGGCCACGGGTGACGTCACACTCGCGGTGCTGGATGAGGAGCAGCTTCAGCTTGGCCACCTCCGCTCTGAGTTCGCCGTTTTCGCGGCGTAGCTGGCGCACGCTGAGCGAGAGCGACTCCATCGAGCTGGCCATCTGCTGCTGGTCGCGCTTCTTCCGCGCCCGCCACCGGTTGGCCGCCGCCCTGGGGCACGGCCGGGGTTACAGAGGTCAGGTCTAAGCAGACGTGGCGCCGGGGGCACCGCCAAGGTCACAGGGTCAAGGTCGAGACGGCCGCCCCGCCGGGTCAGACCATTCCGCGTTCAGTGGAAGCCCTGCGGTGTGGGCCGAGGTCACAGAGGTCCAGAGCGGGGGGCGGGGCGGGGAGGGAGGGGTCACCCGACGGGTGCGGCACGCTGCAGCTGACAGCGGCCACGGCGTGAGCGGTCAATGGTGGGGCGCCCGGTCACGCCCGGGCAGTCACACATCGGACGAGTCAGTCGCAGGGCGTTTGTGGGAGAACTCAAGTCGTTTGGCCATGGCCCCGGTAAGAAAGCTGCAGTATATTACGGCCCCGACTATGTGACAACTAAAAAGGTTGAGCGATCGATTTCAGTGTTTACGACAGCGATATGCTCCATAAATCACAGCAAAATGAAGTTCTTAGAAATTTTCTTCAAACTAACGAGCTAACGTATCACTTTGAATTCGAATCCGCGCTATTCATGTCTTAACTAGAAGCCTGGAAAACTTCGTTACGCGCAAATTGCATACATAATTGGGTAATGTGAAGCAAATTCTATAAAGCCCAGCGCCGACAGCATAAAATGGCGTACTGTCCACGCCCAAAGCGGAATGAACGTGCCACCGGGCCGGTGCCGTGCGACGCTGCTGGCTGCGGCAGCGGCGCCCGGTCCAGCGGCGGCCGAGCTGCAGCGCGAGCGCCGAGCCGAGCCGCCGCCCGGCCGCTGGCTCGGACTCGGGCTAATCAGGGACCTCACCGGCTCGCCGCACACCGCGCGCAAACAAGGTCGGCAGGGCGGCGGCCGGGGCCGTGGGCGGCGGCCGCCCCCGGGGCAGCGGCGGCGGCCGCAGCACACGGCATCGATCGGCGGCCAAAGTGCGGCGCGCCGCGGGGAGATAGCGCCGCAGACGGGCGGGGTCACGGGGAGCGATCATCAGAGCCGGCGGCGGCGGCGGCGGCGGCGGCGGCCGACAGTGACGGGCTCCGCTCCGGCGCCGCAATCGCCGGCCCGTCCGGCCGCGATCGGCCACGCTCCGCGACCTAGGAGGTGCAAAAGCATGAAGGTCACTCAGCGCGACGCGAAGAAGTGGCTTTCGACAAAACTGGCGTGGGAACGCTGTCACTAGCGTGCCGTTTTGACAAAAATCGATACAAGCTGACATGGAATGCGCAAGGGTCTACGATGTAATGGTTGGGGCTCAGGGGCGCGGGTCTTTAAATGTCTTCAGACGATACACAGCATTTGATGTGAACTGCATCAGCGGCTGGCCCACAACGTTTCAGTCGTCGGGGTTCGACCAAACGAGCTCTTAAATCCGGGTGGTGCCAAAATTATTTGCTGACTTGAAACCCGAAAGCGAAATAATGTATTCAAGCGGGCACAATGAATTGTCATTATTTCCCTTGACAGCTGTCAACATGCGTCATGATGTTATCATTCAGATAGCAAACTAGACCGACTATGTGCCAAGTTGTAATACTCGATCAGCGGAAAAATAGAGCGATTTATTCTTCACAAACCAAGGCCAGTCACAGAACACAAACGTGAAATGTGTCCCGACCTCGGTCACCATTCCATACTGCTGCCAATGGTGTCAGCCGGACCTTGAAGCCAAAGAGCTTGTTCGGTTATCTACATCCTCAAGGGCCGTCAAAAATACCTGCTAGCGGCACGCGGTAGCATCTCTTTGAAATTTAGCATCGATCCCCGAGCCACCTCCCCTCATATCCTTGCTGCGGAGCGATACCTTTCTTTCGGGTCGAGAGGAGCGCGGTTTTCCTCCGGACTGTGTCCACACGCCCGCGTCATTCAGCAAAACAAGAATGCCACCAGTTATGTGCCAGCATCCCCGAAAGCATCCCAGATCCTAAGGCATGCTTCGAAATCAAGACAAGCGAGTTTTAAAAGATAAAACAGTTTTGGGATCCAAAACACTTCGAAAAGTTCCCAGACATTCCAGATTCTGGAAAGTCTTTAAGAAAAACTCAACAATGCGTCCTGGATAACACATCATCCGACAAGACACGAAAATGTGCCGTGGATTCTGTAAGATCCCAGATCCAGGACCGGGCGAGCAATTTTTGAGGGCTAAGTGCCGTTGCAAAGTTTTGGCTCGGCACATTCAATGGCCTCATACCACGGACTTTTGCCAGGCTCTGGGTGAACTATCACTGTCTTAGGTAGACCAACAAACTTAACAGCCTATGATATGAATATATATATATATATATATATATATATATATATATATATATTTTAAGCAACACGTATGCTTTCGTCAGTGAGCTCAAAACGTAGACGTAAAACAACGTTTCTCGCAACGTTATTCTGGTGACGACTCTAACAACCGTAAACCACTGCGGTTATCGGTGTCCTGGATTACAATGCAGATCTTAACAGACCAGTCACATTTTCAGGTACATTGTTTGCAGATTGGTGCACAAATGTTGCCTTAGCGGATCTCGGCCCGTCAGATTTTCATAAAATATTAACTTTCCAACGCCCTGATGAAAGCTACTGGTATCGGCTACCCGGCGCATCTCGCTCTACTAGCTTAGCTTTTGACATCATCTACCTGACAGCTGATAGCTGCCGCTTCTGTTACCGCCCGCGCCGCGCCAGGCATCTCACCGGCCGCTCTTGGTTACTGCCACGCTCGCCTCGCGCTGCACCAAGCGTCTCACTGGCCGCTTTTGTTACCGTCCCGGCCGCCCCGCCCCGCATCAAGCGTTTCACCGGCCGCACTTGTTGCCACCCCGCCCGTCCCGCGCCGTGCCAGGCGTCTCACCGGCCGCCCTTGTTACCACCCCGCCCGTCCCGCGCCGCGCCAGGCGTCTCACCGGCCGCCCTTGTTACCACCCCGCCCGTCCCGCGCCGCGCCAGGAGTCTCACCGGCCGCCCTTGTTACCACCCCGCCCGTCCCGCGCCGCGCCAGGCGTCTCACTGTCCGCTTCTGTTACCACCCAGCCCGTCTCGCGCCGCGCCAGGAGTCTCACTGGCCACTTCTGTTACCACCCAGCCCGTCCCGCGCCGCGCCAGGCGTCTCACTGGCCACTTCTGTTACCACCCAGCCCGTCCTGCGCCGCGCCAGGCGTCTCACTGGCCGCTTCTGTCACCACCCAGCCCGTCTCGCGCCGCGCCAGGAGTCTCACTGGCCGCTTCTGTTACCACCCAGCCCGTCCCGCGCCACGCCAGGCGTCTCACTGGCCGCTTCTGTTACCACCCAGCCCGTCTCGCGCCGCGCCAGGAGTCTCACTGGCCGCTTCTGTTACCACCCAGCCTGTCCCGCGCCGCGCCAGGCGTCTCACCGGCCGCCCTTGTTACCACCCCGCCCGTCCCGCGCCGCGCCAGGAGTCTCATTGGCCACTTCTGTTACCACCCAGCCCGTCCCGCGCCGCGCCAGGAGTCTCACTGGCCGCTTCTGTTACCACCCAGCCCGTCCCGCGCCGCGCCAGGAGTCTCACTGGCCGCTTCCGTTACCACCCCGCCCGTCCCGCGCCGCGCCAGGCGTCTCACTGGCCGCTTCTGTTACCGTCCCGCCCGCCCCGTGCCGCGCCAGACGTCTCACTGGCATGCCACACATGCGGAGCTGATGGTCGATATCCAAGCCCGTCCACTGCCAAGATGTCATCAGATAACATCAGCTGTGGCTGTTCAATTTCGTTCCTTCCTCGCGCAGCATCCTCCGATGTCGGAGGCCATTTTGGCGCAACGCCCACAGCAGAAGACAACCGAGCCGTGGGCGACCACGGATAGGTGGCGCCGCGCTCTGACGGACCTCTTTCATCGCATTTCTAATCTCTAAACAAACGGTCATCGAGTGATCACTGCGCTTCCCCTCCACCGCGCTGAAAGCGAGCATTCCCACCTGCAGCCCGCGGCCCCAGTCTCTGCGCGGCCCGAGCGGCGCCGTGGAAACCCAGATGCCGGGCGACCAGCGCGGGCCGCCGGACCGGGCCTGTTCTGCCGGTGCCGCGGGTCCGACGGCCGCACTCGGCGGCGCCGACCCGGCTACGGTCCGGCCGGCCGATCGGCCGACACCCGGCTCAAGCTGGGTCGATACGCGCGCAGCCCATATCTATATGAGGGCGGCCGCCCGGGCCGGCGCCGCCGCCGCTGTCGCCGCCCGGGTCGTGATTTCGCGCCGGTCCGAAAGACCCAGGGGCGCCGCTGCTCGTCGGGGCCCGGCCGCCGCTGCCGCCGCCGCTGCCGCTGCCGCTGCCGCTGCCGCTGCCGCTGCCGCCGCCTCCGCCGCCGCCGCCGCCGCCGCCGCTGTCGCCGCTGTAGCCGCCGCCGCCCAGGTCGTGATTTCGCGCCGGTCCGAAAGAGCCGGGGGTGCCGCCGCTGTCGCCGCCCGGGCCGGCGCCGCCGCCGCCGCCGCCCGGGTCGTGACTTCGCGCCGGTCCGAAAGAGCCGCGGGTGGCCGCCGCTCGTCGGGGCCCGGCCGCCCGGGCCGGCGCCGCCGCCGCCCGGGTCGTGATTTCGCGGCAGTCCAAAAGAGCCGGGGGTGCCGCCGCTCGTCGGGGCCCGGCCGACCGGGCGACACGCCACGCGGCCGACCGGAACACGGCGAACACAGCCCCGGCCATATAGTGGCCAGCACAACGGCCCATCGCCGCAGGAGGCCCGGCCCGGCCAGCAGGAAGCGCGGCGCCGCACCACAGACGAGGCCCGAACGCAGAAGAAAGAGACCGCGCCAATGCGGGGCGCCGTTGCGAGTGAGCCGGCGGCGGCGGCTAATTGCGGAAGCGCTGTCGGCCGGGGACAGACAGGCTGTTTGCCTCCGCTGGCGATTAGATAGGGCCGATGCTCTCACGCCCCGGGCGCCGTCCATAGGCTGTCACTGCTCCGCCCCGTCCATAGGCTGTCACTGCACCGCCCCGCCCACAGGCTGTCACTGCACCGTCCCGTCCATAGGCTGTCACTGCAGCGCCGCCGTCAACAGGCCGTCACTGCGCCGCCGCCGTCAATAGAATGTCCAGCACCCCCCCCCCCCCCCCTCCCGTCAATAGGGTGTCACTGCACCGCCCCCGTCAATAGGATGACACTGCACCGCCCCGTCAATAGGGTGTTCCTGCACCGCCCCCATCAATAGATGTTACAGCACCGCCCCCGTCAATAGGGTGTCGCTGCACCGCCCCCGTCATAAGGGTGTCATTGCACCGCCCCTGCCAATATGATGTTACAGCACCGCCCCCCCCCCCCGTCAATGGGGTGTCACCGCACCTCTCCCCCCCCCCCCGTCAATGGGGTGTCACCGCACCTCTCCCCCCCCCCCCCCCCGTCAAAAGGGTATTACTGCACCGTTCCCGTCCACAGGGCGCCACGGCTCTCGTCAGCAGGGCGGTGTTTCTCGCCAGCCCAGCGGGGCTCTGCCGGCCATCCGATGCTCAGACTCGCCGTTCGACCCTCATGTCAACGTTTGTGAAGAGTCATACACTTGCGCAGGATCGATGTCCGTTAGTTGTTCCACATTTTCCCTCACTTCAATATATCAACATTGTTAATATTATTGGACAGTCTTGCTGCACGACACACTGGGACTTCCAGCAATTCACAGTGCTTCCAAAGAGCCGGATCGCTTCAATCATACGCTTTTCCAACACTCACGAGCTTGCTGCCAGCCTGATTGCACTAACCCAGTGCTCCGGACTGGCGCATCGTTTTCACCAGGCTTACGGAGCAAATCCGCATATGTGCAATCGCTCCCAACGCTCGACCAAGCCGTCCGGCCAACAAAGCGGCCCGGTGCGGCCGAAGCCCCCTCCCCCCTCCTCCCCTCTAATGAGGTCATGGAGCACAGACATGAGCGCGCCACATGATGCAAAGACGTTGGGAAACCAGCTATACTCGACATCGTAATTATCATCACAGATGCATAATGCATGATTCTGCGATGCTCAGCAAGGCCACGGGGGCTCCATTATTCGCATGGCAACGCACTCCAGGACGTCGCGGGTGGGCATCCGACCGTCTCCCGACGTCGCACTGTTTGTCTCCATCACATCTGCGGCGTAGATCACGACTCACCGACGGCAGGCGCACGGTCCTGTTGACGGTACTAGAACGCGGTGCTCTGCCTAGCATGTGATCGTAGTAATAAATCAGTGTACCGACCACGTCACCGCAGTACTCTCTCTCTCTCTCTCTCTCTCTCTCTCTCCTCTCTCTCTCCTCTCTCTCTCTCTCTCTCTCTCTCTCCTCTCTCTCTCTCTCTCTCTCTCTCTCTCTCTCTCTCTCTCTCTCTCTCTCTCTCTCTCTCTCTCTCTCTCTCTCCTCTCTCTCTCTCTCTCTCTCTCTCTCTCTCTCTCTCTCTCTCTCTCTCTCTCTCTCTCTCTCTCTCTCTCTCTCTCTCTCTCTCTCTCTCTCTCCTCTCTCTCTCTCTCTCTCTCTCTCTCTCTCTCTCTCTCTCTCTCTCTCTCTCTCTCTCTCTCTCTCTCTCTCTCTCTCTCTCTCTCTCTCTCGCTCTCTCTCTCTCTCTCTCCTCTCTCTCTCTCTCTCTCTCTCTCTCTCTCTCTCTCTCTCTCTCTCTCTCTCTCTCTCTCTCTCTCTCTCTCCCTCTCTCTCTCTCTCTCTCTCCCCCCTCTCTCTCTCTCTCTCTCTCCCCCTCCCCCTTTCCTTGTCATGCACCAGAGGTCCCGCTGGTGCGAGCGTCTACCGAGAACACTTCTCTCCGCTCCTAGGCAGTACGAGCGGAGAGGTTTTCTCGGAAATTCCTCGGCAATCGGAAAGAGGCCACGGGGAATCTCTCCTTGACGCGACAACTGTGGCAGGTTCGCAACCGGTGTACGACCTCCAGCTGTCCAAAAGTCTGTACCACTCCGGTTGCGCCCGCAGACGGGCTGGCGGGCTCTCACCTGTTCCGCTCGCGCCGCAGAGTATCCTCGGTGGGGCGGCGGCCTGACCCAGCGCTGGGTGAGCGGGCTCTCACCTGTTCCGCGCGCGCCGCAGACTATCCTCGGTGGGGGCGGCGGCCTGACCCAGCGCCGGGTGAGCGAGCTCTTACCTGTTCCGCTCGCGCCGCAGACTATCCTCGGTGGGAGTAGCGGCCTGGCCCAGTGCCGGGTGGGCGCCGACCGGCGGCGAGCGCTCGGCGGCCGCGCCCGCCGCTGCCGGCTTCTCCTGGCGCTGCAGAGTCTGTTTCAGCCGCTGAAGACGGGTGACAAGGCCGTCAGACCGGCGGCAGCTAAGGCGTCCGCCCACCACGCGGCTTCAGCGGCTACGAACACACTACACATGGCGGTTTGGTTCCATCGTTGCGGGTCCTACCGACAACACAAAGAGGCCAGTCTGACGGCGTTGGCAGCCGCACGGCATTATAGCTCGATGGATTGCTGCCCATAAATCCCGACCGCGAGTACTCATGACCCATGACTCCGCGGTCATGACCCTGACTCATGACCGGAACATTCCCAATAGAATAGGTTAACACAAGGCGCAGCTTGCCTTCCAATAGAAAAGGTAAACGCGTGGCGCAGCTTGCCTTCCAATAGAATAGGTAAACGCGTGGCGCAGCTTGCCTTCCAATAGAATAGGTAAACACAGGGTGCAGCTTGCCTTCCAATAGAATAGGTAAACACAAGGCGCAGCCTGCCTTCCAATAAAATAGGCAAACGCGTGGCGCAGCTTGCCTTCATTTGCTACGCTGAAATGAATGATGCAGTAAAATGTCCTCAGCGGCCCTTGACAAACTCGAATCCACAAAAGTTGAAGGGAATGTTCCACATTAGAAGATATTGAGGCAAGCGTTAGATGTAACGGAGAACATCGCTTCTAATTGACATCCTTTAAATGCAAAAGACTGCTCTAAAGCACGAAATTGCACCTACAGGCACCTCTGTGCTTCAATATACCATCGTTTGATTACGCTATGAGCCGTTTTTATGACGTCAAAGTCCTTGACCAAGTTGTCAGATCAGAACTGCCCTTGTAGTGAACGGTGTGACTCATTTGTGGTACTTCTACACGCCGAAAGGTGGCGTTGTCGGTTTACACATTTACATTTAGCGTACGAGCATTAGAAGCGTGTGGTTTGGGCTTTTCTTGTGGCATGTTTGCATATATTTACCGTGATGGCATACTTCTTCCATAGTTACATTGTCGGTTCGATTACGGCACCACTTTTAAGTTATTCAACTTCCAGCCTCATATTCATATCTAGAAGTGGCCCAAATGTGTGTTACTTATGGCAGCATGCGATTAGTGGTCGAGACACGCACTCAGCCGCACAATCTGACTGTTGGCCAATTGCGTTCTAACCGCAAACACGAATGCTCAAACGGCCACATTGAGCTTGACCATGAGCATAATACAGCCAATGAGGTGCGGCATTCCCGTGACGTCTCTATGACGTAATACATGCCAAGGTGACGTTCCCATATGCAGCGCGAGGTAGACTGCACAAGTTTCCGCGCATCACGCTCAGAACATGAGGGTTCGAAGTCTAAAAGAGGGCATGGTTGCAGGGTGCAGGGAATGATCATGACAATTGTTATATCAGCTCAAAGCCCATACAAATGTAGAATGGTCCTTTAAGCACGGGACCGAGGAATGCGGCTTTAAAAAAATATACGACAGTGCAGGAACATTGCCCCATAAGGTGGCCATACAACAGGCATAGCAAAGTAAGGCATGTCACCTGACGCTTGCTTTCTGGGCGGCAGTTAGGCGACGCGGAAATAATGAGTATTTCTGGGCCTTAATTAGCAAATACACCAGCGCATTTCAGGCCAGCGTTGTACTGTTTAAAGGTCGCCTCAGTCTCCCTCCAACATCCAGCGTTTTGTCCTAGAGCTCTACTGCTTAAGTGCGGCTGACTGATTGGCAAGCAGCAGTTAATCAGTCGGTTTGGAGATCAGTAAGGAGCAATATCCAGACTACGCGTGACGCCTAGACGGGACTGAGGGAGAAGGCAGGTACCTATTGCAAACGACAGCGGCAGGGACCCTGTTCGCTACGGCCAAAAGAACCGCACCCTTTGTTCTGATTGCATGCCCAGTTAATCGATGAATGAGTATTGATAGGCATGTGCTGCATAGCAAAATTCGAGATCTTAAACAGCTCAGTTATGAGTCATGTCGCGTGCCTGTAGGTCCGTTGCTATCTCTGTAAACATGTCACCTATGCATTCAGCTCTCACGACACCAAGTCCGATGGAAACTTGCTGTTTTTCGACGGTCTGCATCACTTCGGTAGGACTAACATGGATGTGGTCAGATAGGCGAATGTTGTCTAAGACGCATGAGACGTGAAAACATCACACATTTGATGCCAAATAAATGTGTATGCATTCAAAATTTTGGTCAGCAGGTTACTGCATGAGCTATAAAGAGAAACGGAATTTCGCCATCACCACCCCTTATCCGAACGCAGGTGTAATGCAGGGTCCGTTTCCATCTGGTGAGACAATATGTGAGCGCGAACCTTGTAATCCATCCGCAATCAGATAAATTACAAGGATAATAGCTGAGATCGGGTACATGTGTGGGGTCAAGTTCTGTTGGGCCGGTCACGTCAGGTCAGATGAAGCCAGGTTGAGGTCGGGTCAGGTCAGATCAGGTCGCGTTGATCCAGATCAAGTCAGGTCGGGTCAGGTCAGGCCAGGTATGGTCGGGTCAGTTCGGGCCGTGTCGGGCCAGGTCGGGTTAAGTCGGGCCAGGTCTGGTCAGGTCTGGTCAGGTCCGGTCAGATCGGGCCAGCTCGGGTCTGGTCGGGACAGGTCGGGCCAGCTCGGGTCAGGGCGAGCGGCCTGCGCCGAGCAGCCAACATGGGACGTGTTTTTGAATGTGGAGGTGAGCTCGGCTGGTCTGCGTGCTTTATTCACAATAACGTAAGTCCGAGATAACAATGAGCCATAAGAAGCTGCCGGGAGACAACGAAGTTCTGCAATATTGTCGCAAAGCAAGCTAGGAACTTACGTTCCCTCTCAAGCTCAGGGAAAACGTGACACGACGTGGCGGGTGCCCAAGGCGTCCCAGAATAAATTCATAGCTGCACTCTAAATTATGCATTTGAGTGCGAGCCAGAGCGACTAAGAACACCGTCGTCCCACGTTTGTATCGTCGAAGCAAGTTATAAAATACGTCAGTTTCCGCATATTCGCATAGAGCCACACTTTACACTTAACGAGGACGGGCTATATAATTCGCAAGCCACTCAACGGCAGCACCACCCAACAGCAGTACCACTGGCCAACAGCACCACCCAACAGCAGCACCACTCAACAGGGGCACCACTCAACAGCAGTACCACTCAACAGCGGCACCACTCAACAGCGGCACCACTCAACAGCAGCACCACTCAACAGCAGCACCACCCAACAGCGGCATCACTCAACAGCGGCACCACTCAACAGCAGCACCACCCAACAGCAGCATCACTCAACAGCAGCATCAATCAACAGCGGCACCACTCAACAACAGCACCACTCAACAGCAGTACCACTCAACAGCGGCACTACTCAACAGCAACACCACTCAACAGCAGGTTCTCAGCGGCAGCCCGTTGCCGAGCAGCACGCATCGTCACACCAGCCGCCTCAGCTCGAGACCGTTTTGGCTTCAGGGCTCGGTGCAGTTCTTCCCCACGGTAGCCGTGCCCGACGGGCCCCGGTGAGACAAATGAGGCCATAAAGTTTGGCACCGCTCAACCGCTCCACGCCGCAAGTTGAGTGCCTGATTAGGTGCACGTTCTGGCCGTGAAATCGCCGCTCAGAAATGGGTCCGGCCGGCAGCCAGCGCAACGTCGCCGTCGCCGTCGGTCCAGCTGAGACAAATGGCTCCGCGCGGATCAGACCCCACTTCGGACGCGCCACGCGGATCAGCCTCCGCTTCGGACGCGGCAGAAGGGTGACACCTAGCGCAGCAGCTCGGTGGCAGACAGATGAGATATCTCGTGAGCGACGAAAAGCTGGGGAAGCTCAGCGTTCAGTCGTCGCCGTTGTCGCGCGGATGGCACGGAATTAATCGAACTGAGACGTCAAACTCCCACGGTCAACAATCTAATCCGGTATCAAAGGCCCTGCCATCTTTTCTGAGCCGGATCCCTCTCAGACCCCTCCCCATCCCCCTTCCCCCACAATCCCTGTCAGATCCGGGCAGGCAAAACTACCTGGGATAAATGTCCGGCGTGTTGGATAATTACTGCTATATCTTTCGACACCACTTACACCGAAAAATATCGCCGAAAATCATCGGTGATAAACGTTTTTTCTAAAAAGCTTCAAAGCAAGCCCGCGTGGACGAATGGGCGGAGATTCGTCATGAACTAACGCAATCGCCACGTTGCGGTGATAACATGAACGCTGGTGTTGCTTATTCGCGCAGAAACGTCACAAACAATCCGCTGCGACAAATGCAGCCATGTGGTGGGTAATTTCTCATTCCCCAGCGCAAGCAATAAGCACCGTTCACAATGGGGAGCTATCAAAAATGACGATTTTCCATAAATGCCAAGGCCCAGCGCAAACTCAGCTGTGTCAGGAAACTGAGCCCAGCAGTGCGCTGGTGCAATGAAGCAGTCGGGGCAGCGGAGGAAAAAACTCCACATTTCATGATCACATGGTGAACTGATCAAGGCATCCGGTTCCCGATTCCGTACTCGCCACATTTAGGGCACTTCGTGTGACACTGCATGAATGGCCGTTCGGGGCTGAAGCTCGACATTAGTTTGACGCAAGTTTCTCTCCGCTTACCGAGAGCGACGCCTGCGGCCACCGCCATTGGGAAGTTGGATATATTTCACTAACTTCACCATTAGCTTTCGCGGCACAGGACTTCCTCGGTGCGAACGGCTTTTGGCTCGCTTCGTCAGGAGTTATTTAGTGCTAGAATGTCAACTTTCCGCAAGCTGAAACACCACTTCAAAGTGGCTTGAAAGCAGGAAATGTTTCAGGTTGGCACAAGTTGTACGCTACGTGAGCGGAAAAAATGTTCATTTACGGCCACTCAAAAGCCACGGGCGGCCCACGACTCCGCGGTAGCCTGCATTCAAAGCTCGCTGAGTAAGACTAAAATTTCTTCAATAACGCGCGCAGTGGACGGATGGCGGAGCAAAATTTGTCCCACCATTTTGTTTTTCTTAAGCCACATCAAAGCTAGAAGCTGCCAACCAACAAACTTTGTATGTTATGACGCATTTCACACAAAAAAATTAAGCGAGGCGTCGAGAAACCCAGAAACTCAACCAAAGCGGCAGGCCACCGCTTTTTTGTTTTTGCTGCGGCCCGGTAAAGTCAAAATCGCTATCCATGGGACAGCGGCGAGTCTCACCGACGCACCATAGCCGGCGGCGCAGGAGGACAACCGACGAAGGAAGGCACGTATTCACGGAGCCCAGTCGTCATTGAGGCTTAACGACGCACTCAGCTGCTGAGCCTTTATAACGTCGCCTGCCGCTCACTCTGGCGGGAAGGGGGGGGGGGGGGTTGCGGGGAATCAAACCCCGTGCCTTTGGTTTTCCAGTCGCGCAGTGGTTATCGCAGACGCGTTAACCACTGCACAATCGGCACCGACTCACGGAGCCTAGTTCCGATGAAATTCTGAGAGCAGAGTTCGTCAGCGAACTGACCCTTCACTCACTCCGATCGCGGACCCGCCGCACCCAGTCGTTACCCACCGCCGGAAGCTGGCGGTGTCGTTCGCGGAGTCACGAGGAAACGGAAGCGAAGTCGGCCCGGGAGTATTTCCTCCGGCTGCGACTTCAGACGTGGGCCCATGTCATCGGCCAAACTCCACTCTGGATCAGAATGAGCTTTCTCAGAAAACCAGCGCCGTCGTCCATTGGCCGAAATCACCATGCATGGAGTCTTGCGCATGGTTCAAGGTGACCTCGAGCGACGTCCAATCACAACAATCCCGTGATGATGTGGCAGCACCCAGCTCCGTGGCCCGCCCTGCTAACAGGCGATCATTACACCGCGTAAGCCCACTGGTCTGTGATGTTGAACATTTCCAGGTTGATTGCCCACCGAAATATTTTTCCCATTGGTAGCCTTGTTTGACCATGACCGATGTGACCGATATGGCTTTCGCGAACTGGAAGAACTGGTAGGTTCTCTCACCTTACATTGTTCTCGAAAATTTCGGGACTT